AGGCGGAAGGAAGCCCCCGGCAGGAAAGGGGCCGCTAAGAGCGAGCCCCAGAAACCCCACCGCCCCCTGGCCCAGAAGCTGAGGGAGATGCTGGGCCTGGGCCAGGTGGGGCCGCTCCGGGGCTGGAGACACGGGCTGCAAGGTGAGCGGGGCCGGGGGTGAGGGGCGGCTCTGCACAAAGCCGCTTCCATCTTGTGCCCCCGTTGGGAAGGGGCGGGGGTAGCATCAGCCCCTCTGCCAGCCACCGGGCCGATGCAGCTACAGGCAGAGCCAGTCTCAGGCCCCCTCCTTGAAAGGCAGCGAAGTCCTGGGGGGGCAAGAGAGGCTTTAACCCCCCCCCTGCACCGCCATGTGTCCAGTGGCTGGTGGCTAGTCGGGAAGCCGAATTGCCTGGAAATTGTACGATCAAAGTAAGGGAGCATGTTTCTTTCGCTCCTACCCCCGTATATTTACCTGGAGTTGACAGCAGTCAGACGTGTATGTCACTTTCCCTTTTCCTACTCCATAGTCAATTACCACAGGAGAAGGGTCCCTGAACGTGGCCTGGAGAAAGAAGGTTTGTTCAAACCTTATAAAAGTTGAAGGTTTTTAGATAGAAAATAAATACAGGACATTACACAGCCTTTATGCAGCATCAGGAACTACATCTTTTTTTCTTTAAATTATGTTTTATTTAGCTTTATTACTATTGGGATTATCTACCTGACACTTGACTATGCCTGGATGAAAGGATTAGGGGGTTGATTAGTGCAAAAGAAAATAAAAAGTTAAAACTTTATGCTACAAAGTTATGCAATTCAGAAGTAAAGCTTTTGTACAAAGTTTATTTAAAAAAACCACTTCTCATGAACTCTGTAGAAATAAAGTGATTATTTATTGTAGTCACCTTGATTTTTGTTTTCCAGCATGTTTAATCACAGGCTCTGTCTCCCCGTTTCAGCTGTTATAAAGCAAAGTTAAGGTGGCTATAGACTATGAACAGTGTGGCCTGTGAGCACATCTCTTCAGATGAACTTGCTTTTAATAGTTTGAAGTTTAAAACTAAGTGTACTGCTAAGAGAGTTATTTTCTTTTAACAGACTTTATTGAAGAAAAAGGAGCCTTCATCATGAGAGTAGATGGCAAGATATGGTTCACTTTTATATTGGGTAAGAAGACAAACATACCAGTTCTTAAGGCTTTATAAAAATGTACTATACCCAAACTTGTCTGGAATGTAATAGGAGAGGGTGTGGAAAATGTGATGCTTCTTTGCAAGATAGTTATCACACAACCACTCATTGATTCTTACAAATAATAATTGAGAGTGGGATTGGCAGTAAAGGTTAGCATTGACATAAATAAGAGCTGAGTTAAGCCAATAATAAAATCCAAATGTATTAATATTCTACTGATACTGTTACTCTTTATTTAGTGTGCATATATGTGCATATACTTCCCAAGACATGCATCTGGAAGGTATAATAAAGTACTAATTGTTCAGTGTAAGCTTTTTATTCTTAACATTACAAACATCCTATTTACCTAACTCCTTAAGAAAATTGTTGCTCTGTTAGTGTATGAGTTCAGTAAGTAACTTTGGAAAAGTAAGGGAACATAGTCCCATATTTTGCAAGTATGTGTCTGTCTTACGTATAAATAATATCACTACTGTCCCAGGACACTTCATAGGAAAAATTAATAACTGGCTGAGGTGAATGGCCTAAGACGGAGGTTTAGCATCATCCGCTTTCTTCTAACCAGTCTTTATCTTCCAAGAAATGACCTGGGTTGTTGATCTTTAATGAATTAATAATGTAATCTGTGGAACTCTTTGTTAGCTGGCATTATTTGCTTAAGAGCACTTAACTATAGGTGGACGTAATATCAAATTTATTATATTTTTGGGGAGGAGAGGAAGATGATTCTTTCGTATACTGTGCTTGTGAGACAACAATAAAATTAATTCCCACACTACTGAAAATAAATATAAAATATCTATTTGCTACATTAAATGAAGATGCTGGATCAGAAACTTATAAAGAGAGAACCAATATCAAATTTACCTTTAAGCTTTAAATCTCTTTGACGTTATTTTGTGTTAGCGACATGGGTGTGCCAACACAGCCATCTCACTAAAAGCTGTGTAGTGTAGACATGGCCTTTGTCTTTGCAGCCCTTCCTGAGGTCCCAGTCAATATCGGGATAGTTGAAATCCCCCATTATGTTTCAATTTTTTGTTTTTATAGCCTCAGTGATCTCCCTGAGCATTTCACAAGTTAGGTGTCTCTTCTTCCCCCTCCCCTCCCCGATATATTAAGTATATATTTCTGATGTAATTAAAATATTCTGGGGCAGATGTATAAAAAGTAAAGCAACTTGACTGATTTACGCCCACCATTGTCTGAAATGCAGATATTAAGACGATGAGCACAAGCAAGCACAATATATTATTGAAATGGTTTAATCATACACACACATTGAAGAATGGCATTTGTGAAGTTCAATAAAAGATTTATATGAAATTATTGTAAAATTTAAGGTGACCGAATGTGTTTGTTTTAATAATAATGGTGGTGGTGGTGGTGGTAGTAATAGTAATAATACAAATTTCTTAAACTGTCTCTGCTGATTTTTTTTTCTGCTCAGTTAAGTTACTTATATTATATTTTTCTATGAAATATCTTTTGAAGTCAAACACAGTTTCTGTTCTTTATTTTAATATGTAATTTCAGTTTTTTAATTGAAATACTGTCAATTTGGTTAATAAGTTATGAAAATCAATTTTAAATTGTGTGTAATTGCAAATCTTTTTTCTTTGACACTCATTGTGTGTAAGGTTAAGTTGGGGTCTAATTATATTCAGAATCCTTTTCATTCTGCAATGGTATAGTCTCTATTCTTTGAACATAATTTATTTCCTAACATGAGCTTTCTTGAAATCATGGTTGAGAACATTTTTAAGGCTAACTGAACATACAATAACGCAGCATTGTCTTACTGGGCTCATCTAGAGTATGCAGAAGGTTCGAAAGAGGATATGCAAATTTCCATGGGAATTTGCATATCTTCTTCCAATCTCACTTTAGAAAGCGGAGCTTTAGAAAGTGAAAGTAATCAAGACGTGGTTTTTTTCTGGCAAACCCTCCCCTTTTTCAAAAAGCCGCGTAAACCTCATTTTTTGAGGAAAAGCTGCTTTTCAAAAACAGGAGGGGTTTGCCAAAAAAAGTGCATCTTGATACTTTCACTTTTGAAAGCTCTGCTTTCTAAAGTGAGATTGGAAGAAGATATGCAAATTCCATAGGAATCTTTCGAATCCTCTTTCGAATCTTCCGCGTAGTCTAGATGAGCACATTGGGTTTCCGAACAGACTGATGCAGTAGT